GAGCATATGTCTATAGGACTTTTTTTCTTAGTTTTTTACTCCTCTACACGCTCCCGAAGTTTTGCGATTTAATTTGGAAACACCCTGTATATATTAAGTGACTGAAGATTAAATTAAAAACTTGTATCCTCTTGTGTTATACATATTATATATTGTCAGATAAGTTTTTAATTGGATCTTCTATATTTAATCTGAAATCTTTCGAACAAACGTTTAGAAATAAGAGTTCATATTTTCTAAAGGAATATTATGCAAGAATGTTAGCAATTTACTACTTTTATCTTATTTGGTTTTATCATTTTTATCACATCCACTATGATATATAAAAATGATGTAATCTCGAAAATAAAAGTTTTAAAGCTCCTGAGTAGTCACCACAGCCATATTGAATCGTGACGTCCAATGCGAGAAATGACACGATAATTTTTGTTACATGCCATTTGTAAGTAAAGACAATTTGGACAAAATGGTGAGATCGCTTTAAAACAATTTTAAAATTGGATGAAGACTATCCTTATCCCTCCTGATAATCAGTAAATAATTGTAAAAAAGTAATAAAAGGCACGTGAAACGCTTTTATTCAATGTGCATACGTTGCCTATTTTCATTTTCACGTGTCTTTTTATGGTTGGTAAAGACTAATGTTTTTTTTAAAGAATAAAACATGCATTTCTTCTTAAATATGTTTTTAATGCTTCAAATATGCTCTAAACAATACTGTGAAAAAAACATATTTAAAATATATTAAAAACATCAATTTAGTTTCAAACAATTTAGTTTTAAATTGTTTAAAACTTGTTTTTTACCAATCCTGGGCTCGCCCCTTTTATCACTCTCTCTTTTTAAGATTATTTACTGACTGTCAGAGAGAAATGAGAATAACTTTCGTCCATTTTTACAATTGTTTTAGAACGATCTCATCATTTCGTTTTGTCCAAATTGTCTTTATTTACAAATGACACGTAACAAAAATTAATGTGTCATTTCTTGCTTCTGACGTTACAATTCAATATGGCTATAATGACTACTTAGGAGCTTTAAACATGATAATATTTTCATTATCAAGCCAATAATAATAAAAAATCAAATTTACAGAAGCCATTTATTAAATTTAAATCAAATTAATTTTATAAAAAAAGTATGTATAAATAGCAGCAATAAAAAACGGCAATCTAACTTTCTCATTATTTCAACCTATATATATATATATATAATTAAGATTCGTGATATTATCTTATTTTTGTATGAAATATCAAATCATCGCTTGATTGAACATTTACAGTATTTTTAGAATATGTACAAAATCCAATCTAACATACCTGGAACTTAATATTCAACTAAAATTGCTTGTTATCTTACACAAATGCAATAGCTTTGCAGATATATGCCGTTATTTATCTAAAAATTGGCAGTATAATAACTAAGAAATATAGGATTCCAAAGTTCCATTTGATACAACAATGATAATATCCAGCTTTACGATCAGTATAAATATACAAAAAAAGACCTTCCGATGTGTTGCTGAAGGTGGCGATGTGTTACAATGGCGTAATAATGTAATATGTTTGTCTTGTTAGTAATATGCGTTTTCTTTCATACCTGTGTATTATACTCTACTGACGTTGTGACTTGTATTCTGTAAACTTTTCCACTTCCTTGAGCAAGTCCTGAAAGTAACAATGTTTGTTAACATACGTTTATATCCAGTTAAATTAGCCAATATGTTCATCATTCTATAGTTTCTATAGCATAATTTTACAATTAATACAAAGTATTTACCTTTGGCAGTGATTTTCTATCATATTTCTGAGCATATTTCCCAACGCATCTGCTTAGTTGCACATAAATATCGCACAATAGCTCAACAGGAAAGTCTTTTGTTATTTGAACAGTAAAATGCCACGCATTATCAAGTTCGCTTCTATCAACTACAATTTTCTCGTTTTCTTCAATCTTATCCCGGCTAGTATCACTTTCGATAGCGAATGATAATTCGTCCATGCTTTCGCGTCGAGATGACGAACTCGAATCACCATTCACCATTGGCTTGTCTTCCTCTATGAAGCATATTTCCATTTGATCAAGATTATTTACAGATCGTTGATCTGTTATAGTGCAGTTTTGACTCCCCTTTGAATTCTCATTTTGCGAATCATTCTCTGAATCAGTATTATCAAACAATCCCATATGCCCGTTCAAAACATTATTCGCCTCAGTTTCGAATTCTTGGAATTTTTCTAGATCAATACTAGTAGTAGTTTCATTGCTTGCTGATTTATTCGCAACTGTTTCAGTAACGTTCTCACCGAAAGCGATCTTTCTCTTCTTTTGGACCTTTTTTACATAACCACGAGCCCAAGCGGGTATTTTACGCTTCCTCGAACTACCGAATTTCTTTCCGTTCACAACGAGAGAATGACTAGAATTTATAGACTCCTTTTTGTCCGCTCGTTCGCTCGTGGAAGATTCCAGTTTGGAATTTTTGCTTTCTTCATTATCACAATTGCTTTCTAAAGTTCGACGATTCTTCGAAATTTCGCGACACTTGTCCTCGAAATCAGAGTCTAATTCGGCTTTTATTAAAGCGTAAGCGTTATCACGCAAAGAACACGCTCGATGTCTTATTAATTTGTCTGCAGGATCCCTGTGAAAAGAGAACGTAATGTGTTATTAGCATATAAAAAAAATCATTCTAGCATTCCATTGATAGAAAGCATGATGACTAATGGGAGTGGTCTTCAATGATGCGTGGTGAATTAGTCATAATGGTGTGTCTAGCAAAACAACAACGATTATGGTGCGCTCTAAATTGAAAACCACTATTATCTACGGAGCGATAACAGCATTACGGATAAACAGCAAAAAGCTCAACTACCTCTTTAATATTCCGAGGGAGGGCCTATCACGTAAGCTGACATGAAAACACACAATATGAAATGTCAGTATAGAAAAAGATATAGTATATATTGCTAGAGAAGAACTTCAAGTTATAGCACAATATCAATAACTGCTTCTGTAATGGAGATAATTCTCGCACAAAGACTCGTATGATTGTTTTCCTTGACTGGCGAGAAATTTTAAAAAGATTGTATCCTAATTCAGTTACTGACCTGTCTGGGTTATATTCTAGAGCATTCCTACATATGAGATCAATATCGTCAAGAAATTCGCGGGCGCATAGATAGCAGTTCATATCGATCTTGGTCATCATCGTTTCTAGATCCATAGGCTGCTTTATTATTAGATTGTAGTCCGGTACTTCTTCCGTGTCCACCGGTTTCGTAAACATGAAAAATCTGAAACACATTATTCGATTAAGCTCTTCTGATATACTGTAAAAAAAAACTGAAAATAATTTATACAAACTTACTGTCGATTTCTCGCTAATTTAGCGCATATTTCTCTCAGGAAAATTCGTAATTCTCTTAGAGATATTTCATCTTTCTCGTACATAATCTGCTTCTCCTCTTCCGTCAGTTTCTTTGGCAACGGATCTGGCGCTAATGGCAGTGCTTCTAAAACCTCTACTTTGTTGCTTTTGATCTGTGGTTGTCTTAGACTCTGAATAACAAAAATGGGCCGGAAAAATTTCGTTCTTTGTTCAGTGGTAGGAGTCTTCATGGAATACACCTCTCCGCGTAATTCACTAAACAAGCTTTTTAGTTGATCGGGGAGATCTTGATACGTTGCATCACTCGTTGCGAGAATTAAAATTGGTAATGAAGGATCCAGTGCTGCGATACGGCACAGGAAAACTGCTTTCACTGTTTCTGGCACGAGAGGCCACCACTGATTAATCGATCGAATGTAAATTATGGACGGTACGTTCCTAACCGCTTCATTAAATACCTACAATATTTAATACAATTATTAATATTTATCTATAATATACAACTATCGGAATACCTCTTTTTCTTTGAAATATAATAAATATCACATATGAATAAAAAATTAAAACAGATATTTTAATTTTGCATTTGTGTGATATTTATTATATTTCGAATCAAATTACTATTTTTTATCAATATAATTTTCAATTATTATGAAATCAGAGCTTTGAAACTTGTAGACAAATACATAAATTTAAAAATTTAATATAGCAAGTTATACAACCTGCACGCAAGTTTCTTCTGGAGATCGAGCACTTTCTGCAAACAATGTGCTGACATCTAAAATTTGAACTAGCAGATGTTCCATACAATATAGCAATGCTTGAGCTAAATGAGGTCCCTGACCCTCAGACAGACTGCCACCCGAAATTAATAATCTTGGGCGATGGATACCTTTGGCATTTCTCATTCTATAAAAACAAACCACGATTATAGATAACAATTTACAAGAATATATTTTGATTAACAATATTATTGATGATTATGTGGAATGTTGTAATGTAAAGAATAATTACTTTGCCATTGCAGGATTTACACCTTGAGGAAATATTCCTCTTATTAAATTAAGTAATTCTTCTAATGGAGGTGCTAATAGCGGTTCCATAAAAGGTTGCAATTTTCTTCCTGCACATGGAACTACTCTATGCGATGACGGAATGAGCATAGCGCTTGCTTGCATAAAGTCACGTTTCTTTACCTGTTAATTAATATAGTTAATATCAACTTCTAAAATAAAATTCCGATTATATATATATATTAATTATTATTCTTTTTATACTAAACATACTTCAACTCTCTCCGGATCTAGCAATAATCTGTCATTTGTCATATAAATTTGTGGATAAGTTCTCCTTAGTCCCTGCAGTACTGCCTCGGTACACAAAGCTCTCAAGTCTGAACCGCAATAACCAGTTGCTTTTTCCGCCAGTATCTCTAATAATTGATCAGATGGCGTATTTTTCCATTTACTAACGTGAATCTTTAAGATGTCTAATCTTTCTTTCATAGCCGGTAAGGGAAAGAAGAGTTCGCGATCAAAACGGCCAGGTCTTCGCAAAGCTGGATCGATTGCATCAATTCTGTTCGTTGCACCGATAACTATAACCTTTAACAATTAAAAAGAAAATAAAAATTTCCAAAATTATTCAAAATATCTAGCATATAAATCTTCTAATATAATTTCTGAGGTGATGGAAAGCTCAGTAATAATGAATAAGTTTTAAAACAAGCCCAATTCTCCAAAATGAAAAATGGGCAAGAAACTTACAACTTCTTCTTGTAAAAGTTGCAATTGAAACCAATGAGAAAGCCAAGGTCAACATGGACTAGCATTTTCATGAGAAGGTCAAAGTTTAACTCGCGCTGTAGCGCCATCGAATAACATCATTTTTATTACCTGTCCCCTATCACTGAGACCATCCATAAGTGCCAAGAGTGTGGATACGATACTAGCATGTATCTGATCTTGCTTGGTACTTCTAACAGGTGCCAGACCATCTATTTCGTCAAAAAATATTATGGACGGTTTCATTTGTTGAGCCTGTTCAAACAATAATCTCAATTGTCGTTCCGATTCTCCAACCCACTTTGACAGACAATCTGCTCCTTTCCTCATGAAGAATGCCATCTTCTTGTTGCCTTGACTGCATTCATTTGCTAGTGCTCTAGCTATTAGTGTCTTTCCAGTTCCTAAAATAAACGTCCAAGTTACACAAACAAAAATTAAAATAGGTTTTTTATTATATTGCACTTTAAAACTATAGATTTGTTACTGTATATACCTGGCGGGCCATGAAACAAAACACCTTTCGGTGGGGTAACGTCGTATCTCTCAAAAACGTCTGGATACATCATAGGAAAGATGACCATCTCCTTAAGGCAGTGAATGTGGGTTTCCAGACCTCCGACGTCATTAAATCTAATGTTAGTATCTAAGGTGATGGGATTTATGTCAGCTTTTCGATCTGGTGGACCGCCTTGTGGTATGGCCGATTGTCTGTAAGAATAATCGATATTTTTATTAATCCCCAGCGTATAAACGGAGGTCATTTGTAGCCAGGCGATTTTTAAAATTACGAATATTTTGGAAACAAGTGAGTATGAGCACGCCGTTTTGCTCCGAGAAAAAAAACTTGAGAGGAAAGGTGCCCGTGAAAGCCCAGCAGCATGCGTCATTTTTTCGTTAAGCAGTGGTTATTTAAAATCAAGCACAGGCAAAATTTACTTCCGATACGCAACGCATATTTGTACAGGTCAGTAAAATGACTTTTTTCGTATTTGTTGACTATATACGTACACATATATAAAACGAAAAAATGTTTACTCGGTTTTATTTTTTAATAAAAATCGCTCTGCAGAAGAGATGTTACGATCTCTTCGTTCTCGAAACCAAAAAAACTTGCGACACATCAGGAACACCGCTCACCTATCATAGAACAAGTCAGAATTTATTCTGAGTAGCGATCATATAACTTTTTCCTTAGAGCGGAAATATGAAAAGTGAACATTTTTATGTATGTATGTATGTGTGCATATACACACATACATACAAAAAATTTTTACTTTTTAACTCTAGGGACAAAGTTACATGATTGATATCTATAAATCGGAATTATTTTGTTTTTCCTGAAAAACACAATAGAAATCTAGGAAATAATTGAATAATTCCGATCGGAATCTATTCCGAATAATTCCATAACATGTACCTAGGTTTGTTCATATCATATACTCCAACATGTTCTAACATGCTCCTACTGTAGCTCCTACTGTAACTTATTCCAAAAAAAGCTTGTTAGAGTGAATAGGAACTATGGTAGAAGCATGGTGAAATATGTTGGAGCACGTGATGTGAACAAACTTATCGTTTTTCTTTTTATCGTAATGCATATTTTTTGCACTGACATTCAGTATGTATTTTTTTATTTATAAAAATATATGAGATTATAGATTTGAATAAAGATGAATTTGTTAAAGTCTGTCATTTTTTTTATTACGAACGCTTAATTTTATAAGTTTGAAAATTATAAGATTTCATGTCCCGAACTTAAAAATTTAAATAAAAAAAATTTGTTGGCGTATTTTTTGTATTGAAATATGAATCTTAAATTTTTTGTTTCCATTTTTAATTATTAGATTTCATTGATTTGTTTAAAAGTAATAAATTTTTGAACATATTACTATCATACACACATTTTTGTTTATATATTTATATATATATATATATAAAAAAATAAAATATTTAAACACACAAAATAGATTTATAAAATTATGTATAAATCATTCATTTAGAATAATTAAGGAAGCTACATGAATTTTTTAATATTTTTTAAACTACTTAATCTATTAAACAAACATTAATAACCTCCATTTACACTAAATGGATACTACGGTAAGGGTCAATAAAGACATTGTATAACATTTTTTTTGTGATATAATACCTCGCTTTTTTGCCTTTTTTCTTGTCATAACGTTGAGGTTCGGAGTCACTGGAATCAGCAGAACTCGTACTCTTACTTCTATGCTTCCTTCTTCTCATCGAATTGCTGAGAACACTTCTAAGGGCTCTAATAGAACGCCTAACTGGCTCTACATTAGCTTGAAACCTATCTACAGTAGGCTTTTTTTGACGTAAACTATACTTCCTAGGCCCAGGAGAATCCGAAGATTCGCTTAGATCACTATCCACCACTGCATATATAAATAAATGTATAAATATATAAATAAATCATATTTATATTTTGGAAGAAAACAAATATGCGGGCGTTGTACTATAATGCCGGCAAATCTGAATCTTCTACTTACCCCTTGGCAGTTGTCGTTGAGTCGTGCGCCTTGTCCTCTTAATGCGTGTGTACATATCCTCAAACCCCTAAAAAATAATGTAAATAAAAGATACATAAATTTACAGATCAACATTTGACGATAGGAAAATAAGATGCAGAAGTTTGTTTACGTCTTCGTTTTCTGAATTGTCATTATCATTATTATCTGGTTTTTCACTTTCGTGTGAGCTAACATCATCCGCCTCCTCTTGCTCTACTTTGGGCTTCTCAGTTTTCTCAACTACATTTCCGCATAATCTGGTTACAGGACCTTCTCTAAATCTGTTTGGGCTATCAGACTTTCTTGTTCTAAGGAAATAGTTTAACGTTAATTACATTATATTTCACTAAGTATGTATATCAGCGTTCAATATTAAATTGCATGCCTAGTGTCTTTCTCCTCATTCGCTGGTTTCGTTTGCTCGCTATCCTTTTCCGGTTCAGTTCTTTCCTTGAGGTCACGATCAACTCTAGTTCGAAGTTCTCTACTACTTTGTCGATCATGTTCTGTCCTGTCTCTAAGATGTCTTGTCGGAGTTTTATTAGGTGGATGATTTTCGCGAGATTTTAAGGGCATACGGTCTCGAACATCGCGTTTCCTACCAGGTACATCATCTACCATCTCTTTATCCGAGGAAGAAGGGTGTTGTTGAAACATAGGATATCCTTTCAAAGTTTGCGTTCCTGTTAATTTTAATAAACACTTAAAAAATACAATTATAAAAAAATAGATCAAAATATGTTATAATAATTAAAATATATATTAATTACTCAAACTATATCTTCTAGAGAGAGTTTATTATCTAGTTCTAAATATATGCAACATTGATGCAACTGTATCTAGAGCATTAGTAGTTAAAGATTAACTAAGGATAGTATTCATAGTCCGTTCTTATTTCAAGACTGTCTTAAGTAACATCTTAAGATGCTAATACGGCCCTCTGATTGGTTCGTGACTTCTTAAAACAGTCTTAAATATAAGGTCTGACTATGAATACTGGCCTAAGATTTCATTCTGATATTCACTGTCAGTATTGAAGATCTATAGTGTACATATAACTTATACTATAAATTTTCAGTACTGGCAGTGAATCTCAGAACACAACTTATTTTCCATCATAATTAGTATTCTTCATCTATATGTTAAATATAATTGATTTATTGTACCTAGAATCCAGCTTGTATTAAGATTGTCATAAGTCTGCATTCTATTACGTGTACTGCGACGTACACTTAGATTATTTCTAGTTATGTGAGAATTAGAACCGGAATGCGACCTCAGCTTGCGCAGACTCTTAGGTCGCCTGACGTTCGAGTCCAAGCTGTGGTTGCGAGGAGAAAATATCTCTTCCTCGGTATCCATTGAATCCAATGCAGCGTCATCATCTAACATTATCTATGAAATAATTTTACTATACAGATATATATATGTATACAGACATATATATATATAGAAAGATATGTTTACATATATATAAAAAACAATAAGCAATAAATATGTACATAAAATTCTTTATAAAAACCCAAAATAACAAAAGACTCTTAATTCTTAATTATCTATAGCCCTAATCTTCATTTTTAAGAGATTGCACAACATAGATTTCATTAAAACGCCCCAAAAAACAAACATATTGTTCCGAATTATAATTTTATCCAACTAAAGTGCATCGCAACACGCCTAAGCAAGAAAATAGATGAAGAACTTGTTCCAACAATAAACAACAAACAGAACGGTACATAATCCCCTCTCTCTCTTTCTCTTTTTCTTTCTCGTGATCTTTATATTTTTGGTGATAATATCGCTCCGCGTTTAACTAGCGCGATTACCTTCATCTGGCCAATTCTTGTTGCCGATGAGTGAGGAAAGTGTTAAAACCGCGAATGTCCGTCATATGCGTGGGATAATATCGAGTTGCATTCACAACCGCAGGGAACAATTCTCCACCGTCCTGGTTATGGAAGAGCGCGAGCAAGCTGAAGCAAGCTGGTCACGGATCGTCTCCTTAGTGTCGAGTCAATGCTCGATCAAACTCACTGCTTTGTTTAGCGTCAAGTAGAATCACGCGACCGATGTTATTGTCCACCTAACGACATCAGAGGACCAAGACGGCACGATTCCCGATCGAGTTCAATTGCAAAACCCGTATCATCTGCACATGCATACACTACATACAACTATACGTCACATGCACACTTACGCACCACACACGCACACGCCCACACACACCACCACACGTATTACGTATCATACGCATGCGCATTCCACTTCCAGTTTGCGTAATTGCACGAACATACTTCCGTAGGCTTGTTCCTTTTAACTGGGTATCAATCACGAAACTTTATCACTAGGATGGAAAGTAAAAAGTGAAAATTTTAATCATTGAAATTAATATAGAAATTTTTCACTTTTCACTTTTGATCATAGGAAAAAAATTTCATAATAGATCCCCTGAACTTATGATATGATTCATCTTTCTTCCTTTTCTCTCTCGTTGGAAAAAAGAAGAGAAAAGATGAACCGTGCAAGAAGTTTAGTTAAAAAGAATAGGGGATCGATTGTGTATCTCGAAATGAGGTGAAAATTACAAAAGTTAGTAAATTCATTAGAATATTCATAAGGCCGGAATCAGACTACGCGTTGAAGATTGAAGATTGAAATTTGATCAATAAGGATAAAGAAATTTTAGCTCCTTTTATTTTGATTAGTCAAATTTCTTTCTTTCCATCTTCAATCTTTAATGCATAGTCTAAGGCCGGAATCAGACTACGCATTGAAGATTGAGGTTGAAGATTGAAGAAATTTGATCAATAAGGACAAAGAAATTTTAGCTCCTTTCATTTCGATTGGTCAAATTTGAATTTTTCAGTCTTCAATCTCAATTTTCAATGCATAGTCTGATTCCGGCCTAATATTGGTCTAATTTGGTTGGTCAATATCTAATGAATGTACACACTTTTGTAATGTTTACTTCATTTCAGATACACAATCGACTCCCAGGTCTCTTGTCATGGTTGCAATTGCCCACTGCCAATCACAGTGGGTGCATTCAGTACTACAACCGCTCACTAAGCGCTCAGTGAGCGCTTGCATCTTATTGGCATATTCCGTTAGAACTAAAAATATAGACCAAACAGATTCAAGAGCTTACTAAACGCTCAGTGAGCGCTTGCATCTAATTGACATATTCCGTTAGAACTAAAAATATAGACCAAACAGATTCAAGAGCTCACTGAGCGCTTAGTGAGCGGTCGTAGTACTGAATGCACCCATTGACTTTTGCGTAGGGAGTTTTTCTTTATTTTTTTTCTAGCGCTGTGATTGACTTGTGCACGTCAAGCCTAAAGTTCGATCTATAATTGCGTAAATGTAGTTGTAAATGGTTGTGAAATATTAGCTGCGTTCAGCAGACTCAACAGTTTTGCAACCATTTTATGATTGCTGCTGAGATAGGACCATTCTTCTAGATCTAAAAGTATGATCCAATCAGCGCGAAGGAAACTTCCAACAGTTGCAAAACAAACGTTCTGCTGAACGCACCCATTGTAAAGCGAAGTTTTAGGCCCTGCGCACAATAGAGGAAATATTAGGAACAGGAATAAATATTAACATTTTAACCTATCAGATACCAGTTACACCGGAATACATGGTTTCTGATAGGTTGAAATCTTAATATCTATTCCTGTTCCTAATATTTCCTCCATTGTGCGCAAGGGCCTTAATCTGCTACTCCCGGTTGTAAAGTGTGTTGTGAAAGATGGTACAACTTTATCTTTCACAACTACGACTGCGTAAAACGTAAGTGTGAATCAATCAGAATGCTGTCACGTGTCTACATTGTTATCGTTCTTTTTGACTCGACATATGGAAATGAGTGCGCGAAGTGTCTTTTTCATCTTTTATTGTGTTCATTTCATGATATATTATTTGAGTTTATTATATTACAAATATATTTATGTTACGAGTATGGAACATGGAGAAAGTGTTGTGAGCAATGCTCAATTTGAAGATGAAAGTTCGTTGAATCTTTACTCGATTGTAGATTAATATGTTGTACAACATTTATTGTTACTACTACTCCCATAACCTTACGTCTACGTAATTGTAGATCGGACTTAATGGCCCTGCAGAACATGGCAACGCTTGTTGTGCGGCGGAAGTTGGCGCGATAGCCAATCAACGTCTCGCTTGCTCGGAAGTAATAGATATATAATTTCCATTGCTCGACAACAAAGGCCTAGTTTCCACCGAGGGTTCGAACCGGGTCAAAATGCAAGACCAACGGGTGCGACTCGTTTGATCACGTTGCGATTTACCATCAGCCATTCGTTACCTCGGATCTACAATAGAGTTTTGAGCCTTAATATTCCAGCGTGTATTCCGGTGTATCCGATATCTGATAGGTTAAAATCTTCATTCCTTATTTCTAATTCCTTATTCCTTCTATTGTGGCTACACCTTAAGTTTGGAAACTTGCGGCCGATTACCCCGGATCTACAATAGGGTTTTAAGCCTTAAGCCATAAGAAATGGGCGAATCACAGTCGATTATTCCCCTCGGATTCGACTGTAATTGGTCAATTTCTTACAGCTTAAGTCTTAAAATCACCTATTGTAGATCCGAGGTAACGAGTGGCTGGTGGTAAATTTTACCGGGGTTAGAACTTCTTAGTTTTTTCGTAGATATTCATAATGAAACGTATAATGGCGTTGTTTAAGGGCGGAGGGGATTTCTAAGTTTTTTAAAGAAACAACGTCGCTCTACGTCTCACTACGAATATCTATGAAAAATTAATAATTTCTAAGATCTTGTTTCAATCTATAGGCCGGTATTCGTAGTCGATTCTTATTTCAAGACCGTTTTACCCCGGATCTACAATAGGGTTTTAAGCCTTAAGTCATAAAAAATGGACGAATCACAATCGATTATTCCCCTCGGATTCGACTGTAATTGGTCAGTTTCTTACGGCTTAAGTCTTAAACATCTATTGTAGATCCGGACTTAAGTAATGTCTTAAGACACTGATGCGGCCCTCTGATTGGTTCGTGACATCTTAAGACTGTACTTAAGGGTGCGGTTCATTTGACGTTACAAATGCTTCGAAATTTTTGATTGACCAATCGGAAGAAAGAATTTTACTAACTGATCAATCAAAAAATGCTTCGAAGAATTCGCAGCATCAAGTGGACCGTAGCCTATGACAGCCTTGAATATAAGATTTGACTATGAATACCGGCCATAATGTAGTTTTTCATAAAACTTTTCCGCCAGATGACTTTACGATAATTTTTTTATTAACACGAATTAATTAAGTTTTTTTGATGTGTGAAGAAAGATTATTATAAATTAAGAATAACGCGCCGCATATTGTAAAAACAATAGATGCATCCAGCCGAAAAAGCACCTTTGCAACTATTGTAAAATTTTTAAATATATAATATGAATTTTACTTTTAATTTCTTGCTAAATCGCTATACATAACAGCAATTCCGGTAAAAAATTTATCATGCATGAATATGTATAATTATGTATAAACATACATAAACATGTATAAATATTCATAAACATACATAATTTTATATGAAATATATCCATACATCTTCATACATCCTTCTTTCTTTTGTAAAATTACTTTTTAGTGTAATAGAAATAACAATAGTAATGT